TTGATGTTGGATTTCTTTCTGGGAAGCTCACTGCACAAATCATTTTCTATTTCACAGGTTGAGCAAATAACACCCCAATGTTGTGTTTCTCTTAGTCAGGTTGGCAGTAACATATGTAGCTCACACTGGTTTCCACAGGATATTTCTAATTTAGTAATCTACTCACTTAACTTCTGGTTAAGAAAGAATGCATACAAATTAAAAGAATGTCAATATAGACCAACAAAAATGGGAACCATCAGCTTTGTGTCTTATTCTCTTCGATAACTCCTTGTGCCTTTCATTTTTAGGGTTCTTTTTCTATATTTTTCTCCATGAGCATTTGGGAACTCAGTAGTGCATACGCACATGTCCTAAGACAGGTGTTTGTTGGAAGTGGGAAGCTGCAATAGAGTTCAAATCTTCCCCTAAGTTTAACCCATCTTCTAATGTGAAAAAGCCTAGGCTCCAAGTAAAACATTATGTTTTCTCCCTAAGTCTTTTCTGCCAAATACAGCATCTTGGACTGGGTAGACACTTGGTCGTGTTTTAGCCTCTTCTCTCTTCACTACTTGCCTTTTTCCTTTTCTTTCTTACCTATCCCTACTTAACAATATGATAGAATATGTCTGGGTATAAGATAAAAATCTTTGCCAATGGAATTATGGTATTTGCATTATGGGGACTCTATCACCACCTCATCCTAGTTTCCCAAATACACTTTTCATTCTTTTCCTAGTTACTAATGGAGGTCTCTCAAAGTAAGCCTTATGAATACATTTCAGGCTATAAAATTATACTTATTTGGAAGGGAGAAAAAGAAGAAAAGCAGAAGTTATAGAAGTTCTTTCCATGAAGGAGGTAGCTTTGATGGATGATTGAAAAGTAAAAGCTAGTTTCCAATGTTAAGAAGAGAGGAAGAAGCCCAAAGTCAATATTCTTCATAAATCAATTTATATTTATAAGAAAAATGGAACCACTTAAAATTCCAACTTAATTTTCTTTTCCACATTTACAAAGTAAGTGGTAGAAATAGAAGTAGAGCCCTAAAATGCATGGTTCCAATGTTAATGGTCTTTCCACTACACTATGATGTTCTTATTATCTTCCAATTGGAGACAGTTCCCTTCCCGCCAGCCACAAGAATGTTCTATTGATGAATGTGAGAAGCTCCAGCCCAGCACCCTATGAGGAGCAGATGATTTTCAGAGTCAGCCTAATCTTGTCAAACCCCTTCTCTGAATCTGAGGAAAGACCAAAAATTCATTTAAGTAGAAGACAAATGAATAAAGAATGCCTCTTAGTAGACAGTGCGGTGTCTGGGAAAGTGTTTAGGTTTAATCCTGGTTGGATCATGTTTGGGAGTTAAAGTAGGATATTGCTAGAGCTCTCTGAATGCATGTTGAAAATCTGAGAATTGTTAATACCTAACTTGTTTTCTGCACAGGCTATTTTGAGAATCCAAATATTTATAAAAATATTAAATGAACATAGATCACCTATTTGGTACTAGATTAAATAACTGCTTACATGGCTAGCATGAGGTAAACAATAAATGTTGGGAATTCTGTTAGCTATTTTAATATATCCATCCTCAAACCATCCCTCTAATTTCCTACTTCTACTCTTCTCTTACTATTCTGAAGCTCCTTTCTCTATGAAGTTTTTATAAAAAGGAATAAGATTTTACATCTAATGAGATGTTCTCAGATAATGCAGTTTTCGGTCCATGTAATATATTGGTTCACGACATCTAGTGACAGTTACTTGAATGAGTATTCATTGAGGAAGTTAGACTTCCATAAGACTCCAGAACACACACAGTCACACAGATACACAGACACACACACACACATACACACACACACACACACACACCTACTGAGATTTTTTAAAGATCTCTAATTTACAAATAATTAAATCAATCATTAAATACAATTTTCAGGAGTCTAGTACTTTGGTTATAATGCAATAGTATTTAAAATTAGTGTACTTTGCCAAAAATGAATTATTTGATGATAAAGTACTTCTAGTTTCATATAAAAATCTTCTAAAATCTTGAGGTGAGAGTAGCTTGATTTTTTCCATTTATACATATTTTATGACATTATCAAATCCCAATTCAAGTGGTAATTTATAATCAAGGCTAATGAAACTATACAAATATATATAAATTGATATTTTGTAATGCTGCTTTGGCATGTTCATCCACCAGATTTCTCATTCTACTAATGCCTATTTTTATCCCCTATAGAGAGACAAAGACATGTACAGTCGGTATCTTAAGGAAGGTGATGATTCTGCAGTGAACCCAAAAGTCAATTTTAAGTCTAATTTCCCTGTTAACAGAACTTTACCTTTATTGGATTTTTTGAAAGTAATTTCTCAGATATGTGACATGATGGACTAAGCATGACCACAAAAACTTTTTTCTGACTTAACAAATATTTCAAAGCCCTGTGAAGAGCATTCTGTTTCCCAATCTATTTTAATGCCAAGTTTAGAAAAGGCTACCACCTATGACTATATGTCATTTAGACCCATTTATATGTGTCATCTGAATAGCTCCCACGATCCCTACTTTTTAAGATATAGTGTCCCCTGATTAAAAAAAAAGAAAGACAGCATCATTTCACTAATTACAGACAATACAACACACAAGCTGGGATTTCAAAACACTAACCAACCCACCACTGCAAAAAGGCCAAGACAGTAGCAGAAAAGGTCCAGATTATAGAGGCTGTTGTTTAACAGCATCACCTACTGTGATATTCTGTGAATCCGTGCAATAAAGGAATAATATTTGTAAGTAAGTGGAAAGCAGTCATGGGAAAACGGTGAAAAAAGATGTGTCAGACAGGTGCAGTTGGACAGTGCTCCTAATTTTTATCTGTCCACATAAATTCATATAATCTTATGATTGTTGATCTAGGCAGTTATCAGGTTTGGGGTTGTGTCCTAAAACTCATCCACTACCACTTAAGATCCATCACTCTCCACTGCCTGGAACAGCCAATGAAGAGGTGTGATGGCCACTACTTGCACTGTACCTTCCCTTCCCTATCCAAACTCTGTCAAGCAGTAGCCTACATTTTTTCACTCGCTGCTAGAGGCCTCTATCTACCTGCCATCTGCAGCAAACACCAAAAGGAACAGCAGCAAATCTGTAAATCCTGACCAACAGAATAGGTGTCGAGGACTGGTGGCAGGGTCTGCAACCGGTGAGGACAGACGGACTGACAACCAGACAGACAGACAGCAGACCATCAGACACCATCCATGACTTCCAGTCTCAGAAGAGGGGAAGCCTGCAGCACCAGAATCATCATTCTTCCACTAGGCACAGACAGCAGATTAACGAGGGTTGTGCCTCCCTCAAGCCAGCAGGCTTAAAGTATTTGTTTTCTGGATGAGAAGAAGCAAGGAATTCAGAAACCTGCTGCTCTTTACAGAACCAGACCAGCTCTGGCCTTCTCAGTTAACAGCTTTTTTTTTTTTTTCCTGAGTTTATAAAGGAAACTAGATTTCTACTATTTTGCTGTGGCTTAACACCCACATCTTTTCCTCAATATCGCCCTCTCCACTCTAGGTGGCAGTTGCACTGGTTGGGGACCCATGGGTCTGTGAATGCAGCCTCTATCCATTCCTCTCCTGTGAGGCACTGCTGCACTGAGGGGAAGCAGAACAATTTCCTGGCAGCCTCTTCTCTTCAAGAGGCAATCCTAGGAGTGGGAGGGAGGCCATGCTGAGTGTGCTCTGTGCCCTAGTTTCACCCCTTGCTCCCTCCTTACCCCTCTTTGCAATCAGCTAACTCCAGATGCAACAGGTTCCCTTTGGCTCTTCCTGCCAATTGCCTGCGCCAGATACACCTTCTAGCTAAGCAAGGGACGCCAAGGAATCAGTCCCAGTCAGGGTCTCTAAATTTCCTTCAGCCCAGAGTAGAAAACTTTCCTGCATACACAAAGACTGCCCAAGGGAGGCAGGGTTGGAGTCCCCTTCAGATTCATTCCATGGGTGATGCTAAAGAGCTAGAAAAGCCCTGCCTGGGTACCAGTACAATGTAAGCAGTTTTGTCTGAGACAAGCAGCAGCAGTGTTCACACACTGTGCACCACCACCAACCAGCCCCATTCCCTCCTCATCCCCCGGAAAATAGGGCCTGGGTAGAGCTCCCCGGAAGGGGTGATGACTTCTAAATAGGGGAGAATGTGTGCAAACATTCAACCCCTTACTGGGCTACTTCTTCAGGAACTGTGCAGGCCCTAGAGGTCCCTTGGAAAGCAGGAAAGAAGAACCTCTATTTTATTCAGGCCAGCTTCTCCCGTTATTAAAAACTTTGTATTGCCAATGGCATTATATATGGATGAGAAAATTTGTCTTCACACAAGTATTCTGTGTAGAAGACAATAAATAAAAGGTTAAATAAAAGCTGAAGAGGCAGGTTACCAAAGATGGCAACTGCCCCCTCCACAAAAAAAAGACCCAACCTTGATCTGTGAGATGAATGAGTCCCCAAACAAGCATTAAAAATAAGCATTTTTATTATATAAATATTAGTTCCTTTTCACTGGGGTACCTTGTACCTGCTAAACAACTCCAAAGAGCAGAAGAGCTGTGTTCAGCACCTCCACCTTGGCTCCTGTTCATCCCACCACCCCTCTTTCTTCTACTCATCCCCTGGCCCCTACCCTGCTTCCAGCCCAGGCCGTTCCACTAGGGTGGGATCAGCTTCTCTCAGCTTCTGCATATCCCACCACCAGGGTGGCCCCTGTCCACCCAACCCTCCTGGGCATCCCCCGGCTCAAGCCACCCTCCCCTGGCTCCTAGGTTTCTGGCTCCCTGGAATCCTCTCCTTCCTCCGGACCCCCTAACCTCTTCCCTGCTCAAGCCCAGGACCCCGGCCCCAAGGCGGTCCCTCGCCGCCCCTCCCCCACACCGAGCCGGGAGGAGCGGGTGAGTGAGTGGTGAATGGACGGATGGAGGCGCGCGGAGGGATGGATGGCGCGGTTAGGGGTGGCTTACTTGAGCATGGCTTCTTCTTTTTCCTCCTCTTCCTTCTGCCGGTCCATCACTGCCATGATAATGTTCCTCTCCTCCTCGGTCAGGTGGCTCAGGTCGGGCAGCTCTTGCATGGGGGGAGGCACCGTGGGTGGGCGAGGACCGCGGGGCCCCACGGCCGAGGACATCTTCGTGGCCTGCCCGCCCCCTGCGCTCGCTCTCTCGCTCTCACCTTTCGGATTCACGCCCAGCTGCTGCGCCCCGGCTCTCGGCTCACAGCGGAGCCCTCCGGGCGGCGGCGGCAGTGGCGGCGGTGGCGGCGGTGCCGGGGAGAGCGAGTGCCCAGGCTGTCATGGTTGTTTGCGTCCACCCAAGCCCGGATGCTGCCTTTGTTTGGGTCGCCCTGGCGAGCCTCAGGCCGCCGGCCGCCTCCCGCCTCCCGCAGCGCAGCCTCGGCCGGCGGGGGCGGGCGCACGGGCGCACGGGCGGGGGCGCGGCGCGCGCGGCGAGGGGCCGAGGCTGGCGCGGGGCTCCGCGGCTCGGGGCGGCTCCGCGGGGCTCGCGGGCGGGGGCGGGGCTGGGGCGGCCGCCGAGGCTGCGCTCGGGCTTGGCCGCCTCCAGTTTGGGGCTGCTGCGGAAGGGAGAGGGAGTTGGGGTGTCAGTTAGGCGGAGTCTTGGCGGCTTCGCTCCCGGGCGATGCTGATGCTGCCTCTCCCGCAGACATAGCTGCCAGCCGCCCAGCCCCGAGCCGCTCCGCCCACGGGCGCCACCCGCCCACTCCCCAGGTCCGAGCCACGCGTTCCCGGTGCTGCCCCCAACCTCGAGCCAACGTGCGCACCCCGGCGCTCTATCCCCAGGTACCCCTCACGCGTGACTCATCCTCCCTCTCCTGGCCCCTTGTCTATGTCATCCTCCCTAGCTCTGTTTTTCTATGGGTCGCATTAATCATCATCATCCTTGATACCTTCTTCATCGTGAAGACCCACAGTGTTCTGAACAGCTGGATGGAACACCCTCTGGACCCATTTTTTTCTTTCCTGCCACCATGTCTTTCTCGTTTCCTAACCGAGCGTTCACAGCAACAATAATGTGGTTTTCTAGATAATTTTGATCACACACACACACACACACACACACACACACACAGCATTTGACTCTTCAGTGCAGTGTCTTTCTTGACCCATCCTCGCTACAACTATTATGCAGTGTATCCTAATTTCTTCTCGCGATGCCCCACAACACTGTAACTCTTTAATTTGCCATTTAGGGCTCGGCTAGCCTGTCACACCTCATAACTGCACTTCTCTGGCGTCATTAATGGATTATCTACTCTTATTCCGCCAGTGATACTCCCTGTCATCATGTACTCACTTCTTAGCTTCTGTAGGTACTTCTCAAGAAACACTGATCCCAGATAAGAAAAACATCCAACCCTATCCTCTTGTATTTAAGAAGCTTCTGCTCAATGCCTGGCCCAATGATTGGCATTAAGGATGAGCTTCTCTTGCTGATAAAGGCAAAAATTAATAGACAATCCTTTCAAAATAGGTAATATTATCAGCTTTGAAACCTGGAGACTGAATTTTGTTAAGGCAATTATAAAAGAATCAATACAGAGGAGGGCTCAAATTGAGCAATTTCCTAAGCTCTCTTACCAACGGTGATGACAAAGCTGGTAAGCTTCTCTCCTGAGGAATTCTTTCTATAGTTACAGGAGTGAGTTAGTGCTCTTACTTTTTCCCCCTCCAAGCCTAACTTTGTCAATGAAAAGATGACAACAGTGATATATATGTATCCTAAATTCTTCAAATATATATAAGGAACTTAAGATTTGGTTGATTTTCCTTTAAATGCAAGGAGTTGCTTCCATCCAGACACATCTATTTGAATTCTCTCAGTAATGAGAGGCTCACTACCTCCTAATTCTATTTCTATGACAAAAATCCCTCTTCTAACTGAATATCTTTCAACCATTGGAAACTGTTATCAGGTCTTTTTTGGTCTTCTCCAGAGTAAACCTGCCCTGTTTACCCAACCAACAACTGCCTAAAGTCAGTCTGGTCATTCTTGTATCACTTTCAACACATTCAGATTTTTCCTCTAGCCTTACAAAATAGGTGTCAAGAATATGTGTAACCAAGAACAATGCCTGGTGTTTACTAAATGCTCAATAATGCTTTAGAAATATTATTTTTATTTACACAACTATTGTATTTCATTAAAATTTCCAATTTTCATAAGTGCTGCTGTCTCGCCAGATTTCCTTCTCCTCTAATTAAGCAGCTTATGAAAACACTCTGATCATCATCTTTTCTTCATTGAAAAAAATTATACTTGTTTTCCTCCTTCCAACATCTATGCAGGGGAGGAAAAAAAAAGCCTGAATTAGAATTCTGGCTCTACCTGTGATTGTATGATTAGTCACATTGTTTAACCTTCCTGCCACTGTTTCTTCATCTGTAAAATGGGGACAAAGATACTTATCTCAAAGGAAAAGTACTAAATAAGAAGACATATTTGAAACTTCTAAGTGAATAGCATTTTGGAGTTCTTTTTATTTCTAGCTCTCTCCAGAAGACGTTTTAGGCTGTCTCTCAATTATTAATGCGCAGAAGGAAGCTGAAATGTAGAGGACACATTCATTCTGCTAGATGTCTGTTTCTGTGCTAGTCAATATGGGAAGGCAAACATGCAACAGATAAAGACCTTGTCCTCAAGAGGTTCATGATCAAGTTTGTTCTTGTGAAAATCTTCTAAACTACAAATAAAGAACAATAAAGCCTCAGTAGACATTAGAACAAGCTGAGTCAAGCTCTTGAAGGCAAGGATGTAATCAACAATTAACAGTGGTGCTTTAATTTGCTTTGGCTGCCATAATAAAATACCACAGATGGAGTGGCTTATATAACACAAATTTATTTTCTCAACGTTGTGGAAGCTAGAAATTCAAGACCAAGTTATCAACAGGTTTTGATTTCTCCTAGGTTTGTGGACGGACTCTTCTTGGTGTGTTCATCCTCACATGGCCTCACCTCTGTGTCTGTGCTTCTCTCCCTACACCTGCGAGGGTTTCCGATCTATTGATTAGAACCTCATCTTTTTAACCTCATTCACTCTTATTTACCTCTTTAATTTGACCTATACTGCCAGACATGGTCATACTCTCAAGTAGTGGTAGTTAGGAAGGACTTCAGCATACAAATTTAGGGGGAAACACAAGTCAGTCTGTAACAAGTGGTTTATTAGAATTACTTTGGGAATTTTTTTTTAACAGTACTAGGGTTCTACCACTTCAGCCATACTCCGGCCCTTTGGGGTTGGCTGTTTTTGAGATAGGGCCTTGCTTTAATGCCCAGATCAGCCTGGACAACAGTCTTCCTATTTGTGCGCTCTCACCTAACTGAGATGAAAGACATGTGCCACTGTACCCAACTATTGGTTGAGATGGGGTCTTGAAAACTTTTTGCCCAGGCTGACCTCAAACATGATCCTCCCAATCTCTGCTTCCCAAGTAGCTAGGATTACAGGTTTGAGCTACCACGCCTGACTGGGAAATGGTTATCAGCATGTATTATCTGAATGACAATGAAAAGAAATCTGTTTCTCAACCATCTTTAGGTTCACAGATACTTTCCTGTGCTACACACATAAATGTGAAAGTAGTGAGTGAGTAGTTGAATGAGTGACTGATTGACCTACCAATCTGTGCAGCTTATCAGTATTTCCTCTTCTGTCAGGAATCCTATCCATTATGAAGAGTCAAAGCAAATATCTAAAATTCAGAAAAAATGTTTTGATAAATTTGCCTCCAGAGAAGCAGAACTTACCCTTACTTAGATAAGGAAGCAAACACCCAAGAAGGTATACCGCAGTGCATGGCACAGATGTATCATCTGGAGATACTCCACAAAACCACTCAGTTAACTTGGAAAATGTGCAGAGTACCTCTCTCCTAGAAATTCACAAGGTACATTAACAATTTTAATAAGTGCCAAGATGCAATCATTTACTTCAGTAACGAAATCTGTCCTCTGTAGCTGGAGAACTGTGTTCTTCCCTGACCTGAAGGAGGAAATATGGTTTAGACAAGTTTGGGGGGAAAGTCTGACAAAAAGGCCTGTTATCCAAAGATGTTAGCTGGAGAGACATGAAATTTTTAATGTGATTCTCCTTGCTCAACCAATACGAGACTGAAAGGTCATAAAACTCTATTTATCAGATATTATAATACCTTTCAAGTCAACATTAATATTATGCTAAGAATACTAGTAAGAAATGATAACAGACAAAGCTCCTAGCAGGTATTTCATTTCTTCTTTCCAATGATATTCTTAAATCATTATTTCTCAAAATAGCTCTAAAACTGAAGACTTTTAACTATTTGTTTAACTCAATAGCTGAAGTTCTAACTATAGACAGAAAATACTGAATACGTCAGGTTCAAATTCTCATACTATTATTTGATAGCTGTAGTGGATTGAATCCTGTTCACCCAAAAACTCAAATTTGCGTTATTTGGAAAAAAGATTTTTACAAATTACTTTAAATGAGGCCACATTGGATTAGAATGGGCCATAAACCCAGTGATGGGTGTTCTTATAAAAGGAGAAGACACAGACACATAGGGAAGAAGAAGCTAATGTGTGTGAGAGAGAGAGAGACGCATAAGGACAAAGACCATGTGAAAACAGAGGCAGAGTAGAGTTACACTGCTGCAAGCCAGGGAGTGTCAGGAGCCATTAGAAACTAGAAGCAACTCCAGAGTTACTCTTAGTCACTTAGGAAAGAACATACCTCTGCTGACATCTTGATTTGGAACTTCTAGCTTCCACAGTTGGGAAAGACTAAATTTCTGCTGTTTCAAGCCATACAGTCTGTGGTACTTTGTTATAGGAATTAGTACAATAGATATGTCTATTTGGGTGAATTAGTAAACTTCCCTAAGCCTTATTTTGTTTATCTATAAAATAGAAATAATAATTCTTAACTTTCAGAATTTTAGTAAGGATGAAAGACCGTGAATATGTGCACAGTGCCTGAACATAGAAGAAACTCCATTCATTCTTTGGCTGTGTATTTGCTGAGTACTTACTTTGTGCTAGGTGAGAAGAATAAAGTAGGGAACAAAGCATATAAGTAATGGCCTTGGAAAGAATTGACAAACTATGTCTGGCAAGGCAAGTGCAGCCAAATGGCTGTGGTTTCTGTTTCTTTGTAAATAAAGTTTTTCTAGAACATGGCCACCCCCATTGCTCATGGATTGTATAGTTGCCATCATGTTATAATGGTGGAGTGGAGCAGATAAAACAGAGACCATATGTTGCACAAAGCTTAAAATATGTACCCTCTGCCTCTTTATAGGAAAAAGCTCTAAATGCTTACAATGCTGTTGGAGCAGACAAGCATAAATAAAAACATGATAACAGTTAGTGTGATGACAGAACTGTGTAGAAAAATAGGAAGTCATAGAATTCCCAAGAAGGGATTCTGTGAGCAGATAGATGAAGGATGAAGGAACTGGCCTAAAAGAGCTTAGCACAGAGTGTAACAGGAGGAGGGAAGTACAGAGACGGGGCCCTGAGTCAGGAAAGGGCAGTGTCCTGGAGGAACAGAAAGTAGGCCAGTGAGGCAGGTCATTGTGAAGGAGGAGAAAATAGCTAAGGATGAGCTCATAGAGGGCCAAGTCAGCTAGGACAGGAAGTGCTGTTTTATTCTTGTGCAATGAGAAACCATTGAATAGCTGAAGCAGGGAGTTAAATGATGTGCTTTATATTTTTCAAGTAACTACTTGTCAGGAGGAAAATGGGTAGCAGCAAAGGACACTGGATACAGAAATCTGATTAGGAGAAATTGAGGTAGCTTGGGGTAGTATGGAGTAGTGTGAGTAAGAAAAGTGAACATATTTGAGATGTACTTTCTGAGTTGAGTCCAGACATCTGCAGGCTGAGAGATGTGGGATGTGAAAAGAGAAAGTCAATTACCACTCCTATTTTGGTCTGAGCAGTAAGTCAATGGGTGATGGTTCCACATGCTGACATGGGGAATCTGTGTGTCTAAGGGGTGGTACAAGTGATGTGGTAAGGACATCAAAAGCCTTCCATCATTGTTTTTCATCATCATCATCATCATCATCATCTAAACTCTCAGAAAAAGAAATATATTTGAATTTAAATTGCTAATTGATCTCTCTGACCAAAATGTTTTTCTCTAAGGTTGAACAAAAACAATGTTTTTCTTTTGAAGATTGCTTCCATCAAAGATTGGCCTGAGAGCTAAAAGTTGTTCTCTTGATGATAAGACAAGTAGAGATTCTATTAATATATAATCAAAAGAAGTCAGCATGCACATGCATATTCATAT